AAAAGAATGCAGAACAAGCAAGATAAGAAGAAAAGGAACAGCAAGTTTTGCAGACAGACTTTAAGGTAAGCCCCAGCAGCCCCCATGTCCTGTACTCACCCCTGAATTAGAAAGTCCTTTGAGTAGAGAGAGGAGCTATGACTTGCTTTAAGCCAATAGGATATAGCAAGAGTGATGGATGCCCCTTGCACAGTTACACTCTAGAAAACTGTAACTCCCATCTCATTAGAACAATCTCTCCTTCTTTAAAATGTGTGTGTGTTCACATGTGTGGAGCACAGGTGTGGGTGCAGATGTACATGCATGCATGTGCACATGCTAGTGGAGACCAGAGGTCAACCTCAGGTGTGGTTCATCAGGCACTATCCACCTCTCATTGATACCCAGGGTTCACCAATTTGTCTAGGCTGGCTGGCCCGTGAACTCTAGGCATCTGCTTGCCTCTGCCTCCCCAGCACTGGGATTATGAGTGCACACACCACCACGCCCAGCTGTGCCGAATGAGCTGTTATGAGCTGTCCTATAGGGACCCCTGCAGGGCAAGAAACTGAAGAAACAGGGCACCAAGCACCAGCAGGAAACCAAGCTCTCCTCCTACCGAGCTGAGCCGCATGCACTGGATTCTACCAGCCACATAGTGACTTTGGAAATGAATTTTTCCCCCTAATCAAGACCTGTACAGTACCTTAATTACAATCTTGTGAGGGATCCCAAAGCAATTAGGCCAAGCCCTGCTTCTTCACCCACAAAGACTACAAGATAATAGATATCTGTTGTCCATATCACTAAATGTGTGGTTCTCTGTTGTACAGCAATAACAACAGCACAATAGGTCAAAAACAAACTATTTCAACAATCATATTAAGTATAAATGAACTAAAATTTGAAACTAAGAGACAGTGGGGTTGGAGAAAGAACTTAGCAGTTAAGGGTTTTTACTGCTCTTGTAGAGGACCCAGGTTTGATCCCCAGAACCCACATGGCTATATACAGAAGTTTCTGTCCCACCAGCAACTCCCAAATACCCAGCAGCCAGTTCCCAAATTATTGACTGAGAGGCTTACTATTACTTATAAATGATAGGCTGGTAGCTCAGGCTTATTGCTAACTAGCTCTTACACTTAAATTAACCCATTATTCTTATCTATGTTTAGCCACGTGGCTTGGTAACTTTTCTCAGTACAACATTCTCATCTTGCTTCCTCTGCATCTGGTTGGCAATTCCCCTCCCTGCCCTTCCTCTTCCCAGAATCCTTAGTTTGGTCACCCCACCTATACTTCCTGCCTGGCTACTGGCCAATCAGCATTCTATTAAACCAATTCAAGTGACCAATCTTTACAGTGTGCAAGAGGATTATTCCACAGCACATGGCAGCTTACAACCACTTGTAACTCCAGTTCCAGAGAATCCGAAGCCCTCTTCTATCCTCCAAAGGCATCACACACCTGTGCTGCACATACATACAGATAAACACTCATACACATAAAATGAAAATCAATATTTTAAAAGAGAATACACAGAGTTGTGTGGGTAAGAAAAGAAGGGTGGATCTGGGAGGAATTGGGAGGCCAGGAAAGTGGATAGAACTAAAGAACTAAAAATGATTTTAATTAAGAGAGAGAGAGAGAGAGAGAGATCTTAAATAGAAAGCACAGCTGGGTTGAAAGTGAAGTATTGAAAAAGTTATATTGTACCAAGTATAGCCATTAGAGAGACCAGGCACCTATATATATATGAGGTGAGCAAATTAAAAGATGGAAAGTGTTATCAGACATAAGAAGGAACATTCCATGAGGATAGATGGAGCTATATATCAAGGAAATGCAGTAACCTCAAAATGCGTGCACCCCATAACAGGCTGTCAGAGGATATTAAGAAGAAACATACTGACATGCATAAAGAAATAGACCCATAATCATAGTGAGAGGCTGCAAAGCCTCTCTCTGAATAATTGATAAAAGATCTTTTTAAAATGAACACATATAAAGAAGTCCTGAATAGCCCTGTCAATCAATTTGACCTAATTGATGTTTATAGAGTGTTCCATCCAGCAACTATAGAATGCACATCCTTCCCAAGTTCTCACAAATTCACCACCAAAATAGATTATCTCCTACAGCATGCGTTTTGATAGATTTCGGTCACTGAACTATCACAGTATGTTTTCTGATGAATTAGAAATATCTACATCAGCATCTAAATACCTCCCAAATATTTATAAATTAGCAGCACACTTCTCAACAGGAGGGAAATAGAAAACATGAGTTAAATGATGATAAAAATAAATCAAAATCTGTGGGATGGACTCTCTTTCTGTTCACGGAGAATTAACTGTTGTAAGAATTGCCCAGGGACTGTGGAGATGGCCTGGTGGATAAGAACACTTGCTGTGTAAACGTGAGGATCTGAGTTCAAATCCCCAGCACCCTAGTAAAAGCCACACATGCCTCTAACTCCGGTGTTTAGGAACAGAGACAGGTAGATTATAAGAACTCATTAGCCAGATAGGCTAGTAGATGTTGTTTTGAACAAAATCTCAACCATTTGATTTTACTAATAAAGACTCAGGAGCCAGATGCTGGGGAAAAAGCGTGCTAGCTCAGAGAGCCAGAGAAAGCACCCGGCTGACCTTCCTCCTCAGCTGATGTCCCAGAAGCTTCTCCCATGCCAGCTGTCTCAAACAAGACGACTCCAACTCAATATCCCTCTCTTCTACTTCCTGTGTCTCTCTCTCCATCCTCCTCACTCCCTCTTACTCTCTATGGTTTTTCTTGCTCACTTCCTGTCAATTGGTTGCTTGCTCCGCCTCTTGACCTATGATTTATTCAATCCTGTTTACAATAAGCAGAACACTCTTGGATTAAAGGTGTGTGCTAGGGCTGAGCCACAGCACCAGGAGAAACAGGTTTTTCCAGTAAATAACACAGTCTCAGGGTTCCCAGTGGGGTGAGCTTTCAGGTCAGTGAGAGACTGTCTCAAGGGAATAGGCAGAGAGCAGTGGAGGAAGGACACCCAACATCCTCCTCTGGCCTCCACATACTCGTACACATACACACAGAGAGACAGAGACAGATACACACACACACACAGAGACAGACACATACACACAGAAAGACAGAGACAGACACACACACAGAGACATACACATACACACAGAGAGAGACAGACACACACACTCGTACACACAGAGAAACACACACAGAGACAGACAGAGAGACATACACACAGAGAGACAGACAGAGGCAGAGAGACAAACACACATACATACAGACAGACAGAAAGATAGAGACAGAGACAGAGAGATACATACAGAGGGAAAGACAGAGGCAGAGAGACACACGCACATATACACAGAGACAGAGACAGACAGACAGACAGACAGACAGAGAGACATACAGAGAGACAGAGAGACCGAGATACACACACATACACACAGAGAGACAGAGACAGACAGACAGAGACATACACACAGAGAGACAGACAGACAGAAAGAGATGTACACACAGAAAGAGGCAGAGAGACATACACACAGAGACAGAGAGAGAGAGAGAGAGAGAGAGAGAGAGAGAGAGAGAGAGAGAGAGACATACACACAGAGAGACAAAGACAGAGAGAGAGTCACACAATAAATACAGCCCAGTGTGATGTTGCCCACCTTTAATTCCAGCACTCAGGAGGCAGAGGCAGGTGAATTTCTGTGAATTCAGTCAGGTCTACATAGAAGGTTCCAGACCATCTAGGGCTAGGTAGTAAGACCCTGTCTCAAAATAAAATAAATGGATGGATAGACAGATAGATAGACAGACATATAAATATTTGCCTCTGCCCCAACTCCTTGGCACAGGGCCCCTAAAACTCTTGTAGATAAGGGAATCTGAGAAATTTTACGTTCTAATATCTGTGTTTGGCTGTGGTACCTAAGACACTTCTCATTTTGTGAGTGGTAGGAAAGTCTGGTATAGCTCCCAAACCCCTTGGGAATTCCCAGCGACAGGCAGACCCTTTGTTCTAATGAGATGACCTTTGTTGGGCTCCTGGATAGCCTCAGGACGGGGTTGCCAGGGGAACCAAACATGGATCAGACTGGAGCTTCAAGTTCTACTTCTAGGAAGGAGAGACAGGCTGAGAGTTTAGCAACCAGCGGTGGTTAGTGTTGGAACCAGCCATGCATGCCTGTGTAATGAAAACCTAGGAGGACACAATCCAGTGAGATTCCAGACTGCTGAATGCAGACGCCTGGAGAGTGGGATGCCCAGAGACAACGTGGATGCTCCAGCCCCTCCCACGTACTTGCCCCTCTGCATCTCTTCCATATGGCTACTCATTTGTCTCCCTTGTCATACATGTGTCAACAACAAAGTGATGTGTCTTTCCTAGGTTCTGTGGGACACTCTAGCAAATTAGTCAAACCTAAAAGCCTAAAGACAGGGACCAGGAGATCTCTGATATCAAGTCCTTCAGGGAGAAGCACAGGTCACAACCTGTCCTCAAGTGAGGTTGAAACCTCAACCTGTAGAATCAGCCATTACCTATAGACAGCATCAGACTGAATTGAATTGTAGGATACTCAGTTAATGTCCGCTAGAGAAGAGCTTGACATTAGTAGAGAGAAATTCCTTCACGTCTTGGCAACTAGCGATAATATGTTCTGTAAAATAAAGTGTGCTTGTTTTGCCTTGCCTTCCTACTATAATCACCTAGGGAACAGGACAAAACCTGTAAGAAAATTGTTCTTAGACACCGGGCAACAGGGAGGGTAGAACAGTGATTCCTGCTCTGAGGAGACAAACAAGGCAAGTCCCCACTTACTGCCAAGACTGTTTCTAAACCTCAGCAGAGGAAGCGGGGAGTCAAGCAGAGCAAAGGATGTGTCTGAGACGAGAAAAGATACGGACTTGGCAGAGGCTACCTGGCTGAAACTGGGGACACTAACATTGGTGGAAAGACAGAGAACGATCAAGAAGAGATCCGCGAGAAGTTTACCACTCTTTGGTCAAATGCTGATAGTCGTGGAGGGCGGGGTAAAGAACTGTAACCAGGGCCAGAGAGCTGTCTCAGCAGGTAAATGTGCAAGCGGTCAAAGCGTGATGACCGCAGTTCTGTCTCTAGGTCCCACGTGGTGGAATGACAGACCCACTCCAGTGAGTGGTCCCCTGACCACCATGTCATACTCAAGCCATGACATGGATGCATACAGACACACAAAATACATGTTTTTTTTAAATGAATGACACATAATAAATAAATAGATAAATAACATCTAAAATCTCCTGCTAAAAAACAGAGGGGGGGGAGCTGAGGAGACGGCTCAATCATGAACTACTTGTCGTGCAAGCATGAGGCCATGAGTTCAATCCCCAGCGTCCACGTAAAAGCCACGCCCAGCAGAGTGCACCTGTAACCTAGGGAATGAGAGTGAGAGGCGGAGACAAGCAGATCTGCCAGACCCATTGGCCAGTCACTCCAACCAATCAGCAAGCTACAGTTTCAGCAAGAGAACTTGTCTCCAAAAATATGGTGGAGAGCCACTGAGGAAGACAGTGGACATCAGCTTGTAGCTTCCCATACACATGCACCTGTACCCCCACACACACACCTGCACCACACACACACACCTGCACCACACACACACACACACCTGCAACACATACACACACACCTGCATCATACACACACACAACTACACCACACACATGCACCTGCATCATACACACACACCTGCAACACACACATACACCTGCAACACATATACACACACACCTGCAACACACATACACACACACCTGCATCACATACACAGATGACATACAGACACACAAGCACACCAAGAATAAGGCAAAAATCTGCTGAAGCAATAGAAACTCACAAGACAAAGAACCTTCATCAAGGTATTCTTTGCAGCCACCAGAATGACAAGTCTTCATAATACACACGGTCGCAAACAGACACCTCAGAAAAATATTGATTTTGCGATAAGACTGAACACACAGATGAAATGAGGCTCGTGACATCTTCACGAAGACTAAATGCAAGCCTCTCGGGGATCAGATAAATCCAATCAAGATCATTATGCATCACACAAAACCTGGGGGTCTCTGAAGAAACCACACAGCACAAATTCACAATATTCAGCATATACCACCACCACCCCAAAAAAAACAAGTCCCAAAAGGAAGTAGGAGGAGCTGGGGAGACGGCTGGGTTAGAAGGTGCTTGCGGCACAAACACAAGGACCTAAGTTCGATCCCCAGCCCCACGTGAACAGCTGGCTGCAGCAGTGCACACCTGTAATCTTAGCACTGGGAGGTGGAAGCGGGCAGATGCCTGAGCTTGCTGGCTACCTAGTCTAAGCAGCCGGTGAGTTCCATGTCCAGTAGGCGAGTCGGTCTCAAAAGACATGGTGTAAAGGGGGCTGCTGAGGCAGCAGAGCAGAAGGAAGCAGCCTGCGCTGTTCTTGTAGAGGACTGGAGTTCAGTTCCCAGAACCACACTGGGCAACTTACAGCCACCTGGATCTCCTCCTCGGGGTTTGACGCCCTCTTCTGGCCTCGTCGGGTACCAGCATGCACGTGGTCCACAGACATACATGCAAGCAAAACATTCATGCACATAAAATAAAATAAATAAACCTTTTAAAAATTAGGAAAAAATGAAATCTGTTGCAATAAACTTTATAAAAAATTTGTACTTGATTATTTTAGTTATATGTATGTGTGAGTGTGTGCACAGATTTCTCAATGAGCCTAAGTGCTTGCCACGAAAGTCTTACCACCTGAATTTAACTTACAACCCACATAAACAAGGAAAAAGACTCCACAAAATTATCCTCTGACCTACACACACACATATACACTGTGGCATGAACTCACACACACACACACACACACACACACACACACACATTGTGGCATGCACCCCCACACCCAGTGGCATACACCCTCACACAGATACAGATATACACACCATGGCTCTCTCTCTCTCTCTCTCTCTCTCTCTCTCTCTCTCTCTCTCTCTCTCTCTCTCACACACACACACATACACACACACACACACTCTGTGGCATGCACTCATACACATACAATCACACACATATGCATACACACTAATAATAAGCTTAAAATGCATCAGGAGAACATCTCTCAAATAATAAGGGTGTGTTCAGACCTTTTCAGACATAAGAAGCTGAGAGACTTCCCCACCAGCAGGCCACCTTTGTAAGGACTAATGCGAAGTTACCCAGAAGAAGGGAGGTGCCAGCAGATGAAAATCTGAATCCACCCAAAGGAAGGAAGATTGTCAGGAATGGCTAATGGGTACATTTATGTGTTACACACATTTTCTCAGGTACGGCATGCTGGCTTACTTCTGTAAAGCTCAAGAGGCTAAGGCAGGAGGAGTGCCTTAAGTTTGTGGCCAGCCTGGGCTATATAGTAAATCCAGGATCACTTGGGCTACAAAGTAAGAGACTCTGTCTAAAAAAAAAAAAAAACCCTCCATTTTCTATTTCTTTAAAATACAATTGACTGCTCAAATCTAAATAATGGTTCTACTTCTGGCCAAGATGGAATGGCAGAGAATAGATTTACTATGAGAATACAAAATTATACAGTCACCTTGTAACGTTTCCTGGAAAAGTAAATATACATTTACCAGATGACCCAGAAACTCCTGTGTATTTACCTAAGAGAAGTAAATACACATGTCCACTCAAACACTTGTGCAGGAATGTCCAGAGGAACTTCACTTACAACAGTGCTAAGCCAGACACAACCCCAACGTCCATCAACGGGAGAGTGGACAAGCAAAGGGCAGCGTGAGGGACTTCTGCCCAGCAACGTGAGCAAACTATGATGCACACAAAGCATGGGTCTACATCAAAAGCATTCTGCGAAGTGAAGGAGCCAGATGCAAACCACATGCTATCCAATGCGACTGACAGGAAATTCTACCAAGGGCAAACTACGGTGACGGGTGACGGTGACGGGAAGCAAGTCAGTAGGGGCTTGTGATGGCTCAGTGGGTAAAGGCGACTGCAAGGTGAGTTCAAAAACAATGTAGAGGGAGAGACCGACTCCCACAGGTTGTATTCTGACCCCACATGTGGGCCATGGTGCATGTATGCACACATGCTCACACACGCACACATACACACACGGGTGGGTGGGTGGGTGGGTGGGTGGGTGGATGGATGGATGGATGGATGGACAGACAGATGGATATTAAGAAACAAGGGGAGGGAGGGAGGAAGGGAGGGAGGGAGGGAGGGAGGGAGGGAGGGAGGGAGGGAGGGAGGGAGGGAAGGAGGGAGTGCAGTGGTAGGACACAGGAGGATTGGCCATGATAGGTCAGAGGAAATCTTTGGGGTGATGAGACTATTTTAGGTTTTGACTGTGCTGCTGGTCACACGGGTAATAAGGTTAGACAAAACTCTGTGGATTTCATGCTTTGAAATGGTGAGTTTTATTGCACCCAATTTGTACTTCAATAAACTCATTTTTTTTACAGATCTGCAGGATGCCACCAAGGCAGTGGCTGTGAGGAGATTTGGACCTTTAAATGTCTTTGTTGGAAAAGAAGGGTTTGAAATCAAACTCCTTGAGGTTGAAGCAGGCAAATTTAAATTAAAAAGCTAAGAGGAGGAATGCACGAACCAGGAAAAGGTAAAACAAAGAGATATTTAACAAATCTCAAATTGCAAATATTTTTGAAGATGGATAAAGAAGTGATAAACCTCACCAAAGATTAAGAGAAAATAAGAGATTACCTGATGGGGGGAGATGCCAGGCAAGCATGAGAACCTGAGTTCAGATCCCCAGGACCCACATAAAAGCCTGAGGCAATGATGTGTCGCCACAACCCTAGCATTGGGGGGCAAAAAGAGGTGGCCCACTGAAGCTTGCTGGCCAGTCAGCCTCTACTGTTTGGACAGGGCCAGTGAGTGACCTTGTCTCAAAAATATAAGAAGAACAACTCCTAAGGGCTGACAGCCTAGGTTACTCCCTGGCCTCCAAGTACACATGCACTCATGGGGTGGGGTGTTTTTAAAGATGGAAGGAAACAGACCAATATATACCAGTAATGAAATGTTTTGTGTATATTGTGTGTGTGTGTGTGTGTGTGTGTGTGTGTGTGTGTGTGTGTGTGGTTTTTTGAGACAGGGTCTCTCTCTACACAGTCCTGGCTGGTCTGGAACTCACTATGTAGACTAGGCTAGCCTTCAACACAAAGACCTGTCTGCCTCTGCCTCCCAAGTGCTGGGTTTAAAGGCGTGCACCACCACACCTGGATTTCTATATCTTCAGAGCAAAAGGAAATTGGAAAAATCAAATAAGAACAAACCCTCTTAACAAGAACATTCAGAAACGCAAAATACTTGACAGTGAATCTAGCAAAAGATTTACGGAGCTGCTCATTCCTTCAGTAACATCTAACACAGCTGGGGAAAGAACTCAGAGAAGAGCTAAGTAAATGGAGCAGTGTACCATGTTCATGAACTGGACAACTCCACAGTCAAAGATGTATTTCCTCTCTCTACTGGTCTGTACATCATAATCCCCATCACAGTACCAGCAGGATTTTCTCTTGAAAGTAACGACTTGAAGAAGCCAAATGTGTTGGTCTGTGCCTGTATTCTAGTGCTCAGGAGGCTGAGGCAGGAGGATTGTGAATTCAAAACCAACCTTCACCGACAAGCCAGTTTCAGTCCAGCCTAGGCTATGAAACTAGACCTTGTCTCAAAATTGAAGAGTCCTTGCTGCTCTTGCAGGAGACCCAGGTTCAGCTCCCAGCTCCCACGGTGATTCACAACACCTGTAACTCTAGTTCCAGGAAACCCAGTGCCCTCTTCTGGCCTCTGAGGGTGCACATAAACTCACACAGGCAACACGGGCCCATATTATGCCTATTTTCTTTTTTAAAATTAAATCTTGAATAGGGGTCTTGACTTGGATAGAATCTGAAGCATCCATCATCACCTCAGTGTAATCTCTAGTGCCTCCCATGTTTCCTGTTTTAATCAAGTCACAGTTTAAACGAGGAGCAATCAACACAGTGGATTCATTTTCTCTGCACAAACTGAATTAAAATGAATGAGCCCTTCACTAAGAGGACAGAGTCTTATTGGCTACACCAACAAGAAAGAATACTTCACAGCCTAAAAGACCTTCGGAGCAGCCATCCAGCAAGCTTCGGGCAAAGCCCCCCTGCTCTGGTCAGTGAGAATAATAAATGGGATACAGCACATGATTTGTTTTTTGAAACTTTTATACATGTCTCCAATGTATCATAATCATGTCCAACTCCTCCCAGCACCTCCAACACCTCTCCCTCCCAACTTCATATCATATATATCATAAAACCCACTGAGTCCTACTAGGATTGATCATATATCTATGTGTGTAGGGTCAACCACAGAGTGTTGGGCACCTGCCAGTGGTCACATCCCCAGAGAAAAGAGATTCTCCCTCCCCTAGCATTCATCAACTG